TGCCAAACTGGCCCCCATTCTTCCCTGATGGGGAGGGGTAGTGCCCTCCCCCACTGACCTAACTCCCTCAGCCCTTGATCGAGGACTGCTCCAGGGCAAAGTCACCCCTCCACTAGCCTAACCTGGGCGCAAGGAGGTCCAGCAGGCTCTGGAGGCCAGAGAAAACCCTCAGGCCAAGAGTCACAGAGCCTGGCACCTAATAAGTGCTCAGTAAAGGATAATTTGGGCTCGTCCCTCAGTCTGCATGAGGGAGTCTGCTGAGCCCCAGTGACCTATCATAGACTCCGGAGCAAGCTAAATAGATGGTGGTTATTTTAAGCCAGTAAGTTTGGGGGTGCTTTGCTATGTAACCAAAGTTAACAGACACACTGTCTCAGCTTTTGGTTTTCCCAGGAGGAGTCCTCACCTGAACTCCCAGTGGGCTACTTGCAGTTTCTCGTTAGGCTGTTTCCCAACCTAGAACAGTTCCTTCCACCGACCTGAATGTTCTGCCAGCAAAACTAAACTCACTTTCTGCTCCCTTTGGGTTTTTTTTTCTAATTTTTTTTTTTGGAGAGTTTCGCTCTGTCACCCTGGCTAGAGTGCAGTGGCATCATCATAGCTCACTGCAGCCTCGAACTCCTGGGTTCAAGGGATCCTCCTGCCTCAGCCTCTTGAGTAGCTGGGACTACAGGATCAGGCGTGTTCCACCATGCCCGGCTAATGTTTCTATTTTTAGTAGAGACAGGGTCTTGCTGTTGCTCAGGCTGGTCTCCAACTCTTGAGCTCAAACCTCCCAGATCCTGGTTGATGTTCCTGCCTCAACTAGAGTGCTAGGATTATAGGCATGAGCCAGAGCTCCTGCCCTCCTTGCGGGTTTTTTTTGAAAATGGCACTAAGGAAAAGAACTCAAAAAAGCTTTGATCTTCTTGTTTTTAATTTGAGTTTTTAATTAAGTTTATTTGAATGGATTAGGGGGGCCTCCCCAAGGGTTGAGTTTAATGCAAGCAAATAGAGCAACCTCCTGCCCTGGGAGGTATCCAAGTACTGGAGCAGTGTGCAGGTGGGGTGGCTTTTCCTTTTGCTGGGCTAATGGACATTATCCTTGAGGTGGCACATTATAGATGCCACCTCTACACTCCACCCACTGTCAGTCTGAAAAACACACGGAGCTCCCACTGCAGCCATCCAAGAGAAGTAAACCTAGAGCAGTTGGGTCTAGAAAGAATGGATCCAAGTGAAGATCTTCTATCCTTGCTTAGGATAAGACGCCAGCAGCTGTGGTCCCAAACACAATGGCCCTTTCATCTCCGACTGCCACCCCCCCCCCCCGTGACCCAACTCCGTCCCTCTCTCTTTCACCCTTCACCACTCACAGAATTGTCAGCCCCCAGAATGCCCATTTCTTGCCTGATAGGGTTTGGATGTTTGTCCCCTCCAAATCTCATGTTGAAATTCGACCCCCAGTCTTGGAGGTGGGGCCAAGTGGGAGGAGTTTGCGTCCTGGGGGACAGATCCCTCATGAAAGGCTTGGTGCCTTCCCTGCCATAATGAGTGAGTTGTCACTTTTTTAGTTCACACCAGAGCTGGTTGTCTAACAGAGCCTGGGCACCCTGCTTCTCTCTCTTGCTTCCTCTCTCGCCATGTGACACATCTGCTTCCCCTTCGCCTTCCAACACGATTAGAAGCTCACTGAAGCCGTCACCAGAAGCAGATGCTGGCACCATGCTTCTTGTACAGCCTGCAGAACCATGAGCCAAATGCCCGCACGTCTTTTCTGAGCAAGGCTGACCAGCCCGCTGGCTAAGGCGGGGTGTGTACAGAGACCTCGCACCGTTTGCCTGTGCTGAGGCCACGACTGTGGCCCAGTAACAGGGACAGGTCAGTGCTCCAGGCTCTTTCTGGTGGGCAGACACATTTACCTCTTGGTGTCCTACAAGTGTAGACCTGGTTGGTAAGTGCTGGCCTGGAGCCTGAAGCCCCAGCCCTGCCCAGAGGAGGCCTGGCCCTGGGCCTTGTTCTTACCGTTCCTGGCCCAGGGAGAGCCCCTGAGCCAGGGGAGAGGGCTACCACGGCCGCTGGGCCCCCAGACCATGTTCCAGGGGAGAGTTCCTCACTTGGGACATACCCTGAGCTGTGCTCGTGTTTGTGGGTGAAATGGTCTCAGCCAGCAGGGACTATCTCCTGACTAGCTCTTGGGGGGCGTGAGGGCAGAGGCCTGGGGAGAATACATGTGGTTCCTGTTGAAGGGGTCCCATCCCCAGGGCTGCCCCTTAAGACCCCACCGGCCTGATTGGATCCCAGTAGCCAGAAGGCACGCGTGGGCGAGTATGTGAGGATGCGGAAGTGTGCCTGTGTGGCCGCACATGCAGGCGAGCATGCGGGGTATGTGTGCACATGGGTGTTCGCGTGTGTATTTGTGGATATTTGTGTATGCACATGTGTGCCCATCTATGCTGTGACGTCTCTAGTGCTGAGGAAAGATCTATTTCAGACCACAGTCAGAAACTTCTAGGCTTGGAAACTAGAGGTGAAATCTGGAGGGTGGAGCCATTGAGAGTCATTTAGTATCTGGTTCCCCTTCAGGTCACAAGCAGGGGATCCTTCCTTTTGATCACCTTGCCTTTTTCCTTCCTACCCCCATCTATGCCATGTCATTATGAGTTGGAGGTCGGGGAGCCCAAGTGTCAGTATCTCCTTTTGCCATTAATATCACCTCCCCCCACCCTTACCTCCCAAGGGGAATGGGGTGGCCAAACTGCCACATCCTGGGGACACCCATACCCACCTGAAGAATGAAGAATGAATGAGAATTATCCTGTTACATGCCAGGCTCTGCGATCTTTTAGCCTGAAGGTTTTCTCCAGAAAACCTTTTCTCCAGCAGCCTCCAGAGCCTGCTGGATCCCCTCACCCCACCCCCGGGTTGGGCTAGTGGAGGGTTGACTGTCCCCCAGAAGATGTCCTTGATCAAGGGCTGGGGGAGCCGGGGGATAACTCCCTGGCTCCTGCACCCCACAGTGGGATAACTCTAGGTGCGAGGTCCTTGCGATCTCTGAGGTGTCCACAGTGACAACTAGTTCAATACCGTTTCCTTCATTGACTGCCTCTCTGTCCCTGGCCCACCTCTATGCATTCTCCGTGTGTTTCCTGGGATCCCTTCCCAATACCCCACTTGTACTCACATCTTTATCTCAGGAGCTACTTTGGGGGGACCCGAACAAAGAGAGTGACTTATCTGATTGATGAGTCATAGCAAAGAATCCAGGCCCAGGGGACTCTGGGTGCCTTTGGGAGGCAGCCTGCCTAGTAAAAGCACATCTCGGCTCCCTGTGGTCTTCAGGCCTGCCTGTAGGCGAGTGCGTAAGATGAATTCTGGAGTGAGTGTCAGCAAGACAATTGTTGTGACAGATCTCAAGCCACAATCCAGCAATATAGCCTTTTCTGTAATAAAGGACATTTTGAGCTCCACCTTTCAGACTTCTGTATCTATTTCTCAGTTGCTCGGGGAGGGAAAGAAAGTACTGTTATTAATTGACTCTCCTAAACACTAACATTTATCACTCTATGCCCAGAACCTAACAGTACCGGGAATATAATGGGGACACATCAATATTTGTTGAGTGGAAAAAAGTGACAGAACAAGATTCAAACCCATGTCTGTCTTCTCTAGACCCTGTCTAAGAGGGGAGGGCTGGAGAGAGACGGAGGGGGCCAGAGGAACAGTGGAGAAGCCCTTCACGCCTGGCCTGGCCTTCCAGAGCACAGCCAAGGTCGAGGCCAGGAAGTTCTGCCCTGGGGAGGCCAGGGCTTGGCCTGGGAGGTGCAAATCCCTGCCCATTCTCCTGCCAACCTCGTCTCATCACAACACTGTATGTTTTGACGGAGCAGCTCTCCCCGCCCCTCGGGATTGATGTGAAGATTAATGCCTGTTTAGCAAATTACAGCTTCCCTGCACCTCCCGCTCCTGTGAGAGAAGGAGCTGTGGCAACAGAAAATAAAAACAAACCTTGCCGCTTGCTCGCCCGCGTCGGGGCTTGGCCACAGCACTGACAGCTGGGCTCAAGTCGACAAAACGTGCAGGCTTAGCAAAGCTAGGTGACGTCTGGAGCCCGACAAAGACAGGGCTGAGGGATGGCAGAGCACACCCTCTGGCCCTGGGCACCCCGGGACTGTGGGGGAAGGTGGAAAGGAGCAGGACTGTTCTGGAAAGACAGCAGGGGGCAGCTTGCCGAGTGAGCTGCCTCCTCTAAAGGCTGGGAACAGAGGAGAGAGGAGTCCCATGTACTCCACACAGGGGGGAACAGTGTGGCCCGCTCCAAGGCTGTTTCTGCCACTCTCCAAGGCAAGTTGATGGCTCCCATTCCTTTGCTTTTAGCGACTGGGAGGGGGCGTCCGGGGCATATGGCTACTTTTGCTCAGTTTGAGGTCTTGAGGTTTTGCCAAGTGAATGCTCAGCTGATCACGTGTGAGTGAAGAGCCGACAGGCAGGTCTGAAGGAGAGGTCCTGCGGTGGGCACAAGTGTCACCCTGTGGACGGGTCCCCTCACTCCCCATTTCAGTGTGTGCCAGCGGGTCCCAGCTTCCAACCCGGGTGACCTCTGCTGGAGGGCTTGCTTGGGGCCTGCGTGCAGGGTGGGCTTGAGCCCGAGTGGCCCACAGCGGGGTGGGGCGAGCTTCTTGATAACACCCCTTGCCCCGCCTTTGGTGTCCTTCCCTTCCTCTTCTGGCCTCCTCCACTCCACTGCGTTTCCTCCCAAATAAACCAGTTATGTTCACATTTTGGTCTCAGACGCTGCTTCTGAGGGAGCCCAAACTAGGTCAGAATTGAAAGCAGGGATCTGGCGGAGCACGGAAAGGGGGAGTGCGGAAAACACCCCGGCGGGTGGAAAGCAGCCCCGGGGCCATGGCTTGCGCAGAAGAAGAAAGGTGTTCTCTTCGTGCCCATCAAAGCCTCTGTCTTCTTTTTTTAAACTCCCAACTCCACCCTGTCTCTATAATGAACCTTCTCTGTTTTTCCAGAACAGCAACAATGTGCTAACAGGACTTGCCCATCTGTGAGTGAAGAGATTTCCTGATGACAGGCTCAGGGTGTGGCCCACCCAGCTCTGCTCAACCGGCCGGGCCGCCCAGCGGGCGCCTCTGGCCGCCGCGTGCTGCTGACCGTCCTGCGCCGGCCCGGGACGGCGTGGGCACCCAGCCGGCTGGAGGGACAGCACCGTCCTTTATGGTTCAGGCCCCTCTCTCTTCCCTCCAGCCCTCCACCCTCTCCTAAATGAAGTCAGGAATCTGGAATCCTTCAATTCCTTATGCAAGAGGGGCCCTCCCCGGATGCGTGGTCCTTGGCCATCTGGAGGACAGATTTTCAGGGGCTACCACCAGAGTTGGCAGGAGTTGGTTTGGAGGACTTGTCTTTGCTTTCCTTTCCTTCCTGTCCTAGCCCATATGACAGCTCTGTTGCTCTGGGAAGACATGGAAAACCCTGGGCCAAAACATAACCCGCTGGCTCTGGAAAGAAGAGGGCTGAACCCTGCAGCTGTCTCTTGCTAAGGGGGCGCTCTAGGGGAGCCAGTCTGGGCTGGGGGTAAGGAGAGGCCATGGGCCCCAGAGGAGCCCTCAGAAGAGTGTGGTCTGGGTCAACTCAGCTTCGTTCCTCATTCCTGGAGAGGCATCCTCATTCTGCCCAGCCCAGGAAGTGACGGAGGGTGCAAGAAGGAGCCCGAGAGGGTGTCCCCTGGCCGAAGTCCTGTGTGGTGAGGCGGAAAGGGCCATAAAGTGGGAGGGAGTGGATAGGGGCCATGGTGGCTCTGCGTGTGCTAGGGCTGTCCCATATGCCACCTCAAGGAACTCTCCCATTAACCCTATGAATGAGATCTGTTGTCCCCATTTCACAGATGAGAAAACTGAGTCATTTGATCAAAACCAACAAAGCCATGAGGTGAAGAATCCAAGTCTCGAACCTGTGCCTTTCTGACTTCTGAGCCCACACCCATGCTTTTCATATAAAACCTCGCACTGTCCCTCTAGGGGTCTGAGGAGCCGGACACCAAGTCCTGCCACTGTGGGCTGCAACTTGCTTCGCATCTCAGAAGCTCCGTGTCCTTGACTGGAAAGGAAGACAAGTAGGACTCCCCAAGATCTTCCACTCCCAACCCTGGATGTGCGGAGGGTTCTTCAGGCCAGTAGATAAATGGCCCATCGTGGGCCAGAAGGTGCAGGCCCCAAGTGCAGGCTTGGAATTATTCCCAGGGACTTGAGGTAGTTGGTTTCTGATGAGTCAGCCTGTTCCTTTCAGGAGTCCAGCCCCTCCCTGCCCCACCCCCAATTCCCAGAAGCATCTATATCAGCTGTCTGTGAGGCTCATTCCGCTGGGCCAGTTCCGGGCGCCATGGCTGTTCCAGTTATCTATTTCTGCGGAATAAACCACCCCAATCCTGGATGGCTTAAAACCACAGCTGCTTCATTATATTTTGCAGTTTCATAGGTCAGGAAATTGGGCAGGATTTGACTACACAACTCTTCTGCTCTGAAAGGCATTGAGGGAGGTATCTCAGTGATATTTAGCTGGTGAATGGATTGTTCTGGAGGGTTCACTTACATATCTAGAACCTTGGCAGCGATGGTGTGCAGGCTAGGCTCATCTAGCATTGTCTACCAGTGTGGTCTTCCCAGCGCAGTCTCAGAGTAGTTGGACTTCTCACATGATGATCTGAGGATCCAAAAGTGAGTGTTCCAGCCACCCAGGAGGAAGCTGCCTGGCCTTTAAGCCCCAGCCTTGGAGGTGATATTGAGGTACTTTGGTCATCCTCTTCCTATTGATTGAAGCAGTCACAAGCCAACCCAGATTCAAGGGGAGAGGACATAGACTCCACCTCTCATTGGAAGGAGTGTCAAAGAATTGAGGCCATGTTTTAAAAGTGCCCCAATGCCCCAGCTGTCCAAGTTTTCCCACAACCCTCCATTCCCCCACCCCTTGTTCTGCACTCCTCCCCTGCTTGCAGCCACACTCCCACCAGAGAGGCGACCAATGCTCACCTTCTCTCTCAGAAACAACCTGAAACACTCATTCATCAAAAGCATCAGGGTCTCCACGTGTTACTCCCCTGAGGGGCATTTTCACTTTAAAATTGTGGTCAGGAATGGCGTGGCATAACCAAAGGAATGCATTGCTAATGGTGGAATTTCAGGCATTTACCACAGACCAGCAGGGGATATATTTTTTGGCCAAGGGACTTTCCTACTGCAGACAGCTGGCTGTTCAGTCTACCCTGAACCCATAAACACTAAACTGTGGCCACTGGGGTTCTAAAAGGAGCCTGGACAGCAGCTCCTGCACTATGGTTCCCCAACTGTCCCTGAGAATCGGTACCCAGACGACGGGAGGGGGACGGGGCGATGTTTCCGGGCCATGCTGGTGGCGGGCTCAGAGCCGTGCAGATTTACTGCTCCACCGCGTAAAGGGGTGAGATTAAAGAGAGTCGTGTCCACAGAACACAAGTTTGTTTGAAATTTAAAATATTTATGTAGCATTGGCTCCCTCCGAGCGTTCCACCTTCCTTTCCTCATTATTGTATCTCTTAGCACTAACAGCCCTGTGTGTTGGAAGCAAGGAACAGGACAAAAAAACATTATGGGATGACAACCTGATCTAGAATAATGCTGATTTCAAGCAAGGGAGAAAAAAAAAACCAACCCACAACTCCATCTGACACACACATACACACACACCCCAACAGGACTTTGTGTATCTTATTAGTTTTCTTGGTTTGGTTCAGCCTGATGTCAAGATGAAGTAGGAAGTAGATATGGCTGGTATATCTGTTTTATGGATTAATTTGAGAAATTTCCACACATATTCCTTTTTTTTTTAAGACAGGGTCTCACTCTGTTGCGCCCAGGTAGAGTACAAGAGTGCAGTGGTGTCCGTAGCTCCCAGCAACCTCAAGCTCCTGGGCTCAAGTGATCCTACTGCCTCAGGCTCCTGAGTAGCTGAGACTATAGGCGTGCGCCACCACACCCAGATAATTTTTCTATTTTCGGTACAGACGGGGCCTCGCTCTTGCTCAGGTTGGTCTCAAACTCCTGAGCTCAAGCAATCAGCCCGCCTTCACCTCCCAGAGTGCTAGGGTTACAGGTGGGAGCCACCTTGCCTGGTCATATATTCCTTTTAACATCCCCTGCACCTAACCCCAACCTTTTAATTTTATTTATTTATTTATTTTTGAAACAAGGGTCTTGCCCTGTCTCCCAGAGCTAGAGTGCAGTGGCCTCATCACAACTCACTGCAACCTCAAGCTCCTGGGCTCAAGCGATCCTCCTGCCTCAGCCTCCCGAGTAGCTGGGACTATAGGTCCCTGCCAACACCCCCAGCTAATTTTTGTATTTTTAGTAGAGATGGGGTCTCACTCTTGTTGGTCTCAAACTCCTGGCCTCAAGCAATCCTCCTGCCTCTGCCTCCCAGAGTGCTAGGATTACAGGCATGAGCTCCCACACCTGGCCTACCCCAACCTTTTTAAACCAAAGCTTATAGCACTGAGTTTGAGGGGGAGAGGTGGAGAGACTTGGGGCAGGTTCTGAAGGGAGGCGCCAAAGGCATTGTGGGTAACTTTAGGCGGATATGTATGGTGTGCACGCATTGTTCTAAGTATTTCCATGTACTGACTCCATGTAACTGTCACAACAAGCTGAGAGGCAGGTGCTGGAGTTACCCTTACCTGACAAATGAGGAATGTCAGACACAGAAAAGTTAAATGAACAGCCCAAAGATGCAGAGCCGGGAGGCGGCAGAGATGGGAATTGAAGCCAGGCAGGCTGGTTCCAGAGCCTACTAGGCCGCTAGGCCGCATATTGACTCTGGTCCTCTGCCTTCGGCCTATACTTCTGGGATAAGTTCAGATCAAATTCAGGCCAATGCTGATCTCAAGCAGCTTAGGGGCCCGTACTGTCTGGTGAGGAAGAAGTAACTAGAAAGCTGGCTTAGGGCACATGGCCAAGGCTGGCTCTGCCTTTGAAGGATGAGGGGCTGCTTAGAAAAAAAAAAAACAAAACAAAACTAAAGGCCTTTGCTGCAAAATTCAGGAGAGGTGTCTGCCTAGATGGTGCCAACAGTGAGCTTTGTTCAGGACCCTTCAGCCTCTATGCCTCCCAGACCCCTGTAGCCACAAGGAGGGCTCTGTGGGCCTCTTTTTCTAGACCAAGTGCTTCTAGGAATAATCTTCTCAACCCACACAAAAGCTGCCTGTGTCATTCTGCCTGGGCTTCACTTTGCAAACAGTGCTGGGGTTTGGTTGAGAGTTATTTATGAGTCTTGGCATGGCACAGTGCAAAGGACATTGCTAGGAGCCAGGAAACCTGGGGCCTGGCCGCGGCTCTGCTGTAACTTGCTGTGGGATCTTGGGCATGTCCCTTCTCTCTCTTTGGGTTTCTGTCTCTTCATCTGGAAACCAAGAGGTTGGATTATATGATCTCTAAGATTCCACCAGACCTGAAATCTTAAGATTCTTAGATGATCAAACAGGTGAGTTACCAAAACTTCTAAACCCCAGGAGAAAAAGCCAGAGAATGTAAGAGAACATAGAGGCAAGAAGTCGACCTAAGCTAGATCGTTAGGAAACAGGACAAATGGATGAAGCTGTGGGATTTTCAGTCTGCAAGAGCATCATTTTGGAAATGCCTCTCTGCCTTATGGGATTATGAGTTGAAATCCCTTTAATGGGGAAAAATCTCATTGCGGAATGATTTCCATCCAGAAAGATGTAAATGCAAATCCTCCTGGGAGACAGAATGATCTCACTGAAAATCATACTAACATGTAAATGACTGACTGACATGAGATTTATTGCAAAGAGTAGGCTTTGAAGGATGGGGGCCTGGATCTAGGAGACTGAAGACGAAGAAAAAAAAGAGCATCCCAAAGGGTAGGATCTATAAAAAAAGCCCAGTATCACGATGAGTCTACAGCCCGTGTTGGTTTGTCCACCACTTCTCTCAGCCAGGAAGAAGCCATGTTGGTGAGATTTCTGATTTGGGGAACCAGAGAGGAGGGGCCCACCAAGCTGAGGTGTTGGGGAGGCGCCTGGAGGAGCTGTCCGTGCCAAGCCTGCCTTGTGCCCAGGTAACCGGCCAGAAAGACGCCCTTGTTTCCTCAAGGGCTGGGGCGGGAGACACAGTGCCCAGCTGGCCCGGAGCCCGAGGCAGTGGGGCACGTGGAGGGAAGCCAGGGTGTGCTGAGCTGGCAGGCTGGGTCCCGTCTGTGCGCAGCTCCGCATGTATTTTGTGCCTTCAATGCTCTCACCTTGTAGGAAAGTAGTAGCTTGTGTTCTAAGCTGCTGTCCCTGGATGTGATCTCTCACATGATTTACTGGAGGGGGAGAGCATTTGTTTCTCAATGCAGATGCTGCAAGAGAGCCCCGTGATGAATGGAAGAGCCGGCAGCACAGAGGCTGCTGGGACCGTGGCCCTGACTGTGACCACAATGCTCTGAGCTGCAGAAAGGGAGGGAGGGAGGGAGAGGCCCGAGCCCAGGCGCCACCGAGGGGAGACAGAGCTGAGGGTGGAGAAAGGAGGGAACCATTCATGCTTGTCTGTCAGTCCAAACCCAGAGACCAGGCAAATCCAGCTGGCGGCCTGGGGGATCTGTAGAGGGGCCTGGTTAGCACTGGGAGGCCAAGGACGTAGAGGGTACACTTGGCAATCAGAGAGCATTTCCTAACTGTGGGCAAGCCACTCGAGCTGTGGTTTCACACTTTCCTTAATTAAGAGGCAGGAATCATTCGTGCCGTTGTCTGGCCTGGCGTGAAGAAGCATCCAGCTGAGCGCTCAGCACACAGTGGGTGCTTCTGTCCTGCAGGAGGTGAGACTGGTGGAGACAGGGGTTGTGGGTGCCCCAACTGTCCTCCTCCCACCCTCCTCAGCCCCTGCGCTGCCCCTTGGCTTCTATTTCTTTCCCCTTGCTCCTCTGAATCCACTTGGGAACCCTGGCTTTGCTGGGGTCCCCTGGCTGAGCCCAGGGTCACAGTGTGCACCCAGCCTCGGGTGACGCTTAGGGTGGTGGGGGCTGGTTTCCAGGCAACACTGTCCTCTCAGAGCACTTCTGGCTGGTAGGCAGGGGTCTGATGGGTCTGAAGGCTGAAGTTTGACATGAGCCTTCTGCCAAGGCAGTTGTCCGAACCAGGACCGGGAAACACCCAGAGGGGAAGTGAGTGTGGCAGGTCCCAAGCTCCACACTGCTTCCAGCAGCCACGGCAGCAGCAAGTACCGGGGTGACCAGCCACACAGGTGTCATGGGCCTGATGTGGCGCAGCTGTGGAAGGGATGTGCCACTAGAGGCAATGGAGAGTGGGCTGTGGCAGGAGCAGGGACCCAGGTATGACGGGGACAATTCAGTGTCAGGATTCTGAAGTCATGCAGGGATCAGGGTGGCCCTCCTGTTCCTTTGCAACCAGCCAGGGAA